ACAAACAAAAAAACAATCTCAGTCACATTTCTGACTTCAAATTATTTTTCCTACAAATTAAATCAAACGTTTTCTTGTTTTCTAAAACATAGACTTAACATCTGACTTAGGATCACTGATGACTTAGACCTCACAGAGTTAAGAAAAACAGTTTTTGCATCCATTTCTTTTTAGCAAAAATTATATTTTTCTTTTACCAGGTGAAAAAACATCAGAAAAGAGGAACTACAAACACCAAATATGCTTAACTTTCTGCAGAGAAGTGTCTATGTTTGTGTTTATCGATTTCAGAAACTTTATTAAGCCCAGAAGCAACACGTTCGGTCAGTTAACATCATTTTGCTTTAACCTCCTAGGACCTGGCGTCCACACATGACATTTTGGGTTATTTAGACCAAAATACTCAATTTTGCTCAACAAGGTCCTGATATCCACTTACTAGGACATCATATTGCTACTGTTCTATCAAAATTTTAAACGAATATCGTTATATGTGGCTCCCATTTTTCAACTTCAATTTAAAAATCCTGCTTCAATGCAAATTAGTCAAACCGTAAGATGTAAGGATATCTGGTAGACCAAGCAGTCTGCCTAGACTGCAAGACTAGGTTGATGAGCCTGCACTGCCAGAATTCATACATAATTTTCAGAAAAATCAAAGAATTGATTTTAAGTGTGCATGCTCTACCAAAAATAGTGCTTTGTTGTATATCTGACGGACGAAAGCTAAACTATTCCCACACCACTGAAGTTGCAGCATTTTTACAAACCAATTTTGGTTCATCCGTTTCATTCAACAATCCACTTTCTTTTTTTTTTTTTCTTTTTTTTTTCTCTTCTAAATGACATCAGAAACAGCAGTATGCGACATTACGTGATGGCAGAGCTTCAGTTCATCCTTTGTCATTTTTTTTTTTTTTTTTTTTTTATTTTTTTTTTTTTTTTTTTTTTTTTTTAAGAAATAGGACAGGGGGAATGAATGAGAGAAAGAGGGGGAGAGA